ATACTGTTCTGTATTATATACATTTATTTTTGATCATACACGTCAAAAAGCATAGAAAGTTTTTTTTCCTTAAAAAAAAAAGATACAAAATAAAACCGATATTTTCTCACACTACGGGTCATGAAAGAGTTAGACTTGAGGCTTGACTCTGAATCCTAGTCTCAGCGACATGTTTACTCTGAAAGGCTGGTTCATTACCCACAACTTAAAGGTATGGTGAACAATCTTTTATTTCCGGGTGGATCATCTCAATAATTGGTCCTCCTAACTGTCAATCATTCTGGTGATATGTTTACGTAAGGCTGTCCTACGCGCTCGTCCCGTTAGCTATCTTTTTCTGCGCACTTTCAGGCGTATATCTGTGGTGAGCTACGGTTTCAGACAGTCATTGAAGCTCACCTTTCTCACCGCCATACTTTGAAAATGGCCGACGGTCGGAAGAGAAAAATTGTCCACGAAGTGTGTGAGAAGAAAAGAAAGGCCTCAGAAGAGGCAGATATATCCCAGAATGCTTTGCGCTGAGAGATCTCCTCGCTGAGCATTATGGGATTTGACAGCAGCAACTAATAGCAAAGATGGCGCAGGCACCGCGGAGGAGTTACGTGACCAACGGGGAGTAAAGGGGGATTTAGGAGGAAAGTTTTTTTTTTTTAGACCCACCCGTGACTAATAGCTAATAAACACGTACGAGAGGAAATTGTCTATATATCAAACTGAACAATTTTTGTTCTATACTTCATAAAGCACTTTAAATTTAATATGGAAAAATGTTCTATTTTATTTTATATATACATTTCTTTTATTTAAAAAGTCAATGAATAACATGGATGCATAAAAACCTCATTTTTTATTTATTCTTAATTTCTGTTTACAGTAAAAGATAATTAATGAAAAATGGCCAAAAATCGCACTTTGACCCAAAATGGCTGACTTCCTGTGGGTTTTAGGGCATACCTCCAAAAGACATTTTTTCACGATTTGAGGATATCTACCTGTGTGCCAAATTTCAAATCTCTGTGACTTACAGTTTCCCCCAACTGACGTTAGGGGGCGCTGTGGTGTAATTTGGGGGTGGCCATTTTGGATTCCATTATAGACCGGCTATTTCACGCAGGGGACAATTTACTGCCACGTTTTCCTGAGTTTTTGAATATGGGAGGTCCCCGTGAAATGCGTTCAAAGTGCTACAAGAATCGTAATAATAATAATAAGAAGAAGAAACTTTCTAAATACAATAGGCTCTTGCAGCCTTCGCTGCTCGGGCCTAATAATGTCTCCGGACCTTTACTGGTTGTTATTTTTTTATTCTGACGCCGCTGATTTTTAATTGGTTACCCCTGATCTAATGCATGATTTAAATATTTAAAATACAATTATATCATAAAATGCATAAATAAATAATTAAAAACAGATTTAAAATGGTGAATTTAAGTAGATGTCATAAAAAAAATCTGTTACTATTATCTGTTAATAAGTACAATTACTTTATTTCTAAATAAATATAGAGTGAATAAACTGCTGTTGAGGTCTTGGATTAGAAAATTAAAATTAAAGCTTGACTTGGCTTAGACTTGGAAATAAAGTGTTGACATTGCTGTTAGGATTATCCAACAAACATTTATTTTTAAGTTCGACGGCATCGAGAGATTTTCTACTAAATGCAACAAATAGAAATAAGAGGAAATCTGATGTAGCTTAAGAAAAATGACACGTTTAGTCTAATTCCGAGTCGGACGCCAAGTTATGTGACTTGTAGTTAAGTTGTGAGAATATCTGGTTTAAGCTGGAGGCTCATGACCAGCAAAGACCAAACAGGTTTTCCTCAGAAGAGATTTCAGACATTCATTTAACTTGCAAAGCATTTGGCAACACAGACGTACTCCTCAGATTGTTCTGCCATGCAAAGGACAACTCTCTCCTCTGATAGTTTGACTGAATTCAAACGAGGTAATAAACAGAATAATAACACAATAATGTACAGAAATAAATTATGTAGCTCTGTCTGCCAGCTGGAAAACAAAAACTGATTAATTATAGCAGAAATTAGAGCTGCAACTAACGATTAATGACCTGTTGATTATTTTTACGATGAATCGATTCATGGTCCGATAGCCAAAGATTCCCTAAAGTCGTAGGGAAATAATATTTAAATATTTAAAAATCTTTTTTTTTTTTTTTTTTTTGCTATGTTCTCCAGGCCAGTTAGTTCTACGTCAGCCTGAACACTGAAACAAAGCTTCGGTTAGACTCTTCTAATCTCACTGGAAATGGAAGTCATTTTTTCTTAAAATAAGTGCATTTCTTCTTAAATTGAGGAGATTAAAGAGATATTTTGCCAATGGAACAAGACAATTTAGATTTAAAATAAGAAAACACAATTGCATTGTCTTATTTCAAGTGCATATTATCTAATTATCTTATTTTAAGAGTAAAAATACTAATTCCATTGGCAAATTATCAAATTTACCTATTCAAATCAAGGGTAAATACACTTAATTTAAGACATTTTTACTTATTTCTAGATCATTTTTGCAGTGCTCAGCTTTGCTAGAGTACCCAAAACTGGCAAACACTCTGGCGTCGAGGTAGTGACAGCCAGCTGCTCAAATACTCCTCCGGTAATGATCCAATGAGGAACAAGGCACCACCTGGTGGTGGAGAGAGAAAAACACAAAAACAACCCACACAAACTGGATTCCTAACAGAGACACAAGAACCTTCACACTGCAAAAACAATCTAGAAATAAGTAAAAATTCCTTAAATCAAGTGTATTTTACCTTAATTTTAGTAGGTAAATAGAATGATTTGCCAATGGAATGAGCATTTTTACTCTTAAAATAAGATAATTAGATAAAATGCTCTTGAAATAAGACAATGCAGTTGCTTTTTCTTATTTTAAATGTAAATAGTCTTGTTCCATTGGCAAAGTGCCTCACTTACCTCCTCAATTCAAGAACAAATGCACTTAGTTTATGAACAAATTACTTATTTAGATTTCAATTTGTTGCAGTGCATCAACGGTCTGGAATAAAATCCTGAGTGTTAACCTCAAACTGGCACATTTGAGATGTGCAGAGGTAACACGCAACCCTGTACTTTTTCTATTTAAGGACTAATATTTCTGAATGCTTGGTAAACCCGCTGTGGCTCACTGTAATTACTCCTTCTATGATGCACCTTTGTTACCTTTTATCCACAATCAAAAGCTGGAAGGTTTGCATTTACTCACCACTCCCTGTTCACCACAATGGTGAGGGACAAAGTCTACTTTGCTGGCAATTCAGCTGGTTTTATGGCTTTGTAGTCGCTGGAGGCTTTTAGTTTCACTTTATAAAGGCCAGAGATGGAAGCATGGATGAGAAAAACTTACCAGAGAGTTCAGTCTGATGCTTAGGAGTTAATCTCTCCCAAAAGAAAATGTAGTAAAGCAGCTAAGCACAGTATATACGTATATATATACATATATATGTGTCTATTAACAGCAAAGAAGTTTGTTGTTATAAACCACTGCCTTCAGCTCCATCAGAACTTGGCTCTGTGTCTGAACTTTAACATAAATGACTTTGATTATCCTTTCCTCTAGTATTTTAATGTTATCTCGTAAAACTGCAGTATCAGGGATCCAGTTTCATTTCTATAAAATCAAACATTCAATGCTGTAATGCTGGGCTGAGGTTTGCCAGCACTTTTGCTGCTGCTGACATATTAGATTTCAAACGGAGTGAATGAAGGAGCCTTACGCAAGTCTCGGCATGCTGTGATCATGATTCAATCTGGACCTTCGTTATACTTTTACTGCAGGGTATTTCATCAGCACTGCTCTTACGAAATGCCTCTGGCTGTTTTTTGATGGAAGTGAGCGGATTATTCTGTCAGCAGCGATGTCTGTTTTGCATTCCTATGTCCTGATAAATCCTCACAATAAAACCGTGTACAGAGGGAAGCGCGCTGGGAAGCCGACTCAAACAGCTGTGACATCAACATCTGGTGACAGATAACGAACGAGGCGCAGCGTGTAATCAGGAAGTCGTTTTAGTTTGACGCGTGTTGAGTAACATCCACTTTTGAAATTCCCTTGACGTATATAGTGTATATGTAATTATTTTTTTTATTATTTTGTCCTCCAGTAAAACTTTTATAAGCTCAACAGTTTGTGGAAACGTAAGAAATATTTGTAAGATTAGTCAGATAAAGACGATTCTAGTTTTCTTTGGAAAACAAATGAAGTGTCATCAATGAACCACTTTGACCTGATGATGATGATGATGATGATGATGATTCAAGTCAGTTTATTTCTATTTAGCCTTATTGACAACACATGTCATCTCAAGGCACTTTCCAGTTCACCAGATCATCCAGTCAAATTGATTCTTGCATAAGCATGCTTGTAGCGACAGTGGAGAGGAAAGACTCTCTTTAAACAGGAAGAAACCTGCAGCAGAACCAGGCTCAGTGTGAGTGGCCATCTGCTGAGGCCCACTGGGGTTCAAGGAGACAGAAGCAGACATAGAAAAAGAAGCATAGATACAAAAAGCAACTGTAAAAAGTGACCCCGTCCAGGAAACACACAGCCAGGCAGACGAGCTCCGAGCCAGCTCCCATGTCAGAGGATGAAGAGAGCACATCCAGTTAGTCACAGTCAGAGAAACAGGACTACACTGGAAAACAGGCCAAGCTCCAACATCTAGAAACAAAGGTGTTGATGGCAGCAGCACAGCTGATATTTCTCTCCAGGATGGAGTCACAGCCAAATAGGAACAGACCAGATGAAGCTACTATGAGAAAAAGCAGAGAGAGCAGAACGTTAGAGATTGAACTAACAGATTCTGCAGAGTGGGAGAATAGAGATAGAATGAAGCAGAATGATGAAAAAGGGGTCCCTATGTCCTCCAGCAGTCTAAGCCTATAGCAGCAGAACTATAGAGATAACTCGGGATAACCTGGTGATGATTTTTCCAGTTTGCTGATTAACAGATATATTTTCCGGATCATTTTCCAGATGATGTGTCCGCAGACGGCAGCACTGATTTCCCAGACCGGAGCTCCACGATGGAGGTGCGTCTCCAAGCGCAGGAGGATGAGATCACACTGCTGAAATCCTCGCTGG